GGTGATGGGGGGAGGGGGTGATGGGGGGAGGGGGTGAGGGGGGGGGGGGGGTGATGGGGGGAGGGGGTGATGGGGGAGGGGGTGATGGGGGGGAGGGGTGATGGGGGGAGGGGTGATGGGGGGGGGGGGGGGAGGGGGGGGGAGGGGGTGATGGGGGGGAGGGGGGGTAGGGGGGAGGGGGGGGGTGAGGTGGGGGGGAGGCGTGATGGGGGGAGGGGTGATGGGGGGGAGGGGGTGATGGGGGGGGAGGCGGTGATGGGGGGATGACGGGGGTGATGGGGGGGAGGGGGTGATGGGGGGGAGGCGGGTGATGGGGGGGAGGGGGTGATGGGGGAGGGGGGTGATGAGGGAGTGGCGGTGATGGGGAGGAAGCGGTGATGGGGGAGAGGCGGTGATGGGGGGGAGGCGGTGATGGGGGAGAGCGGTGATGGGGGGAGGCGGGTGATGGGGGGAGGCGGTGATGGGGGGAGGCGGTGATGGGGGGGAGGCGGTGATGGGGGGGAGGCGTGATGGGGGGGGAGGCGGTGATGGGGGGGAGGGGGTGAGGAGTGGAGGGGGTGATGGGGGGAGGCGGTGATATGTGATGGGGGGGAGGCGGTGATGGGGGGAGGCGGGTAAGTGATGGGAGAGAGATTACCGCGAGTGCCCCGCTGAGTCTGCGGGGGCCTACCGAGTGAGCGCGGATAACAACATTTCTTAATTCTTCTCTAAAAGTTTTGGAACTCTTTGTCCCCGGCATTTGCGCCGCTTGGCTCAGCCTCGTCCGGCCAAGTGGTGCCGTGGTCGGGGCGCCTCCACCCACGATCGCAAGGTCATGGCGTTTAGCTCACGGTCAGGGTGTCCATCCTGACCTCATCCCTCGGGGGGTGGATAGCGTTCCTGCTACTTGGTGGAACATCATCTGTGACTGTTTAGTGGATACAGTGGCGGCCCCTGTCATAGGAACGTGGTATTGCCACTGCCCAACCCGGGGGCTTTTTACCAGCTCGTTTCTGGAGACACGGACCCAGCCCTGCTGAGAACCTGGGTTCGTATCCCAGGCTCCCACCCACTCGTGATGTTAGCAACTCGCTCAGTTGCTCACCCAGTGCGCACAAATTCAACGGGGTAAGAGCTCATCGCAATAACAAGCTGCCCAATCAATCCCGTTTGTTAAATGAGCCTCGTTTGGGAATTTAACCGTGCAAAGAGATTCGTGCGTTAGGCACCCGTCCACCAATTACCCTCGTACGTAGCGCAATGTATCTCTATATGTGTGTATATATATGTGTATATATACATCTTATTTAATTGCTTTTTTTGTAAATATTTCATCGGCGAAGTCACCCAAAATTGCTAAGAATTGCCAACCGTTTACCCGTGGCTGCACACCACGGGAAAGGGGAGCAGAGTCAAGGATTGTGATGCATGGGGGAAATGAAGTGAACGGGGAAAAGGGAATAGAAAAGAGAAAGAATGGGAAATCAGGGGAAATGGGAGGCAAAGGGATGGAGAGATGTGAGCAGAGAGTCTGGAGAGATGAGGATCGGGAGGAAGAGGCTCCTATCAGGGCCTCCACGCTGCTGCTGCTGCTGCTGCTGCTACTGCTGCTGCTACTGCTGCTGCTACTGCTGCTGCTGCTGCTGCTGCTACTGCTGCTGCTGCTACTGCTGCTACAGCTGCTACTGCTGCTGCTACTGCTGCTGCTACTGCTGCTACTGCACAGAGTCTGTTTTCTGAGTGGGCGGCGACGGGGGGAGGGGTGCATTGTGGGCGTAGCCACACAGAGGTCACGTGATTTACAGGAAGCTTTGGCTTTATTTAGTTACTGTACATGCATTTAAAGTATTTGGCTGCGATACATTTCCACGCGATTAGCCACTTAATTGAGCTGTCATTTGTGGCCAGGTCGCTTCTGTAAAAGAGCTATGTAGCCTAGTGGGCCTTACCTGGTAACATGGAAGAAATGTGATAATTGTTTTTTTACCCTTTTATCTGGCAACAAAACTGACACCTATTTTACAAGGAGTCATGTTTGCATAGACCACAATACCTGCAGTCAGAATGCAAACAAAAACATTCACATACCTGCATTGTTTGTGTTGTTGTAGTACAGAGTTAGACTGATGGCCTTAATCTAAGTTGTCTTGTGGTTGTTGTTTGACTTGCATCCCACTGGGATTTTTGCACACAGCGTTGGTGTACGGTGTTTTTTCAGCAATATTTTTGCTGTCTTTTCTTGGATTTTCTGTTTGCACTTAGTCACATATTCACTTTAAGATGTTTTTTTGTTCATGTTTTTGTTTTTTGTTTGTTGCGGTTGCACCCGATTCAAGAGCTGAATGGCTCACAGGGCTACACCTAATAAATGAACTTGAACTTGAACTTCCCATATCCTCTCCCTTTGATGCTGTTAATCCTGCATAATGCACATGCATATGTAGTACTAATCACATTCCTGCATTTCCCATAAATATGCTAAATTCCTCTTGATATGCAAATTCCTTTGTCAAGGCGCCCAGCTTATATATATGCTCCAAGCTCGTGTGCTGTTTCATTCAGACTCTGTCGCCTCGACAGACCTGGTTTTCACCTGAGGATGGCTGCTTGCGTTGTGGCCGAAACGTCGTGAGAATTATTTTATTGTGTTTTATTTTTATTATTTTATTACTTCCCTTCTACGTGACTTTACCGAAAGAACCAAGAATATAACTCTGATAATGTATGCACTGTCCTTGAAGTTGATTGGTCCACACCCGAGACAGCTTTCCTTAGAGCCTAGTCTCACACAATTTTTGGCGAAAAGCGTGAGGAGTGACTCTCACAGTTGAGTTCTGGGTTATTCCACAGAGGAGTGATGATCCGGGCCGCGGTTGTGTTGCCGAGACCCTCCACCGTCTGACGCGGTATATGAGCGTAATTTGACGACGCACCAATTGCTGCCGTTTAGAGCTCGACTTGGCGATTCTCACGACCAAAATGTAGCGATTAACCCACACCTCAATCACGCATCGTAAGGTAGGCTATAAAACTGCAAACTAAGCTTTTGTTTTATTTTACCAGGTAAGGCCCACTGAGCTACGTAGTTCTTCTTCAGAAGGGACCTGGCCACACATGAAGTGGCTCATCGTGGGGACATTTATAGCAGCCAAATACTCAAAATTCACGTCGATGATGATTCTACACTTGGAGGGAAAACCCGGAGGACGTGGAGAAAAATCCAACGCGACCACAGGGAAAGAGAGAGACCTGCAAACTTCAAATACACAACAGGGGTCGGGATCGAACCCATGGCATTGTGTACACGAGGCGAGGTAGCTAACATCTCGCCACGCGAAAGTCAACGTGAAAGGTGTCTGATGGATAGACACACACGGACGGACAGACTCACGGACAGACGGACCGACGTATATCTATTTCACGGGAAAAGCACGTAGCATCGTGGTTCAGCCTCCCCGATTAAAAGGGCTCTGTTTTCAAAGGGAGACCTGGGGGAGGAGGTGGGGGATGGGGGCAGGGCGGGGGGGGGGGTCGGAAACAAACACATGGGCTGGGCACAGCCACCAAACGCTGTACAGAGCCCCCCATTGTTCGAGTGTAATACATTTGCCTTTGATCTTAATTCAGAAAAATGGAGCAGTCGTGGAAGGAGGGCGTGCGGGTGGGCGGCTCTGCTGCGCGCGGCGTCCAATCCGGCACGGGGCGGAGGCGGCGAGGGTTGACGGATCACCGCCGCTAATGGTTGCGCAACTCCCGTAATGCCTATCCCCGTTCCGATGACGCACGCGTACGCCATCAGTTGTTCTTCTCTCTCCGATGCCGTTCGGGATGACGTGCGTGTGCGGAGCCGGAAGGAAAAAACTAAAATAGAATAACTTGGATAATTGTTTTTTGTACCTTTTTATCTGGCAACAAAACTGACACCTTTTTTTTACGAGGAGTCATGTTTGCATAGACCACAATACCTGCAGTCGTAATGCAAACAAAAAACATAACTCTGATAATGTATGCACTGTTATGTTTTTTGTTTGCATTACGACTGCAGGTATTGTGGTCTATGCAAACATGACTCCTCGTAAAAAAGGTGTCAGTTTTGTTGCCAGATAAAAGGGTAAAAAAACAATTATATTTTTTACTGGCAAATGAGGTACCAATGGTAGAATAACTTCATCGCGACCGATGCTCCCACAAGGCCACGCGAGGGTTGGGGGGGTGGCGGCAGCTAACGTAGAGTGCGGTTCTCTGCGGCGGCGAGTACAGTTGTCTTTAAAAGCAACGCCGTTACGACGCCTCTCAAAATCAAATTAACGCCGAATCGCTCGCGCGCTCCCAGATTCAGCGGTGCGAACGGGACCCCACCACCCACCCACCCTGCAACTTGCAGTCGTCTGGGAATAATGGAAAAGGGTTCCATTTCGCCAGAAGAATTATAAGAATAAGAAGGCGGTCACAGTAAAGAGCGTGGACTGACATCACCCCTGTCACTTCCCTATGATGGGATAGAGTGTTGCCCCCTCGCACGCAAGTGGGGGTTTTCTGCGGGTGCTCCCACACGCATAAGCACTCGTTAATTGGATGTAAACATATTCACATCTACATATATATACACGTGCAGAGGACTGTTCACCGCCTCGCTGCTGCCTCGTAGCTTCGTGTGGTTCCCGAAGGATTGTGGAGATGCAGTTTGCATGAACAACGCTGCAGAGAACTAAACGAAGTTAGACCCTCTGACCACAGATATTTCACATCCATCCGGGGGGTCAATCTGCAGCGCTAATGGGACCCTAATCGGTGTAAACGTAACAGTAAATATCAATAATTGAGTGCCTCTCTCTGTCTGTGCTTGTATCTCTCTCTCCGTCTGTGCGGCTCTTAACTCCCTCTGCTTCGCTGTCTCTATCTGTGCCTGTGTGTGTGTGTGACTGTGTGTGTGTGTGTGACTCTGTGTGTGTGTGTGACTCTGTGTGTGTGTGTGACTCTGTGTGTGTGTGTCTCTCTGTGTGTGTCTGTTTCCCTCCCAGGCTTCTACAGCACCCGAACATCATGCAGTGCTTGGGACAGTGCACGGAGTCCTCGCCGTACTTGCTGGTCATGGAGCTCTGCTCGCTGGTGAGACAACACACGCAGCACAAAGACAAAGATCCCGTGTCACAGACTGTTGGGGCAAGTGCTGTTAGCGAGCACCTACGAAGGCCGGCATGGCACACGAGGGAGCGGGTGGCCAGCACCACGCCCGGCCGCCTTTGTCTCCCCAGTGGCGATGTTTACTACACATCGCGCCAAGGTACTCATTTGGAGCCGAGTCGACCTTGGGAGGCCCAGGACCGGTTCAGATAATCGTCACCGGTGTTGGCCGTGAGCGGGAATCGAACTCGGGTTGCTGGGTTCATCGCGCAGCGCGCTAACCGCTACACTACCGCTCCCCAGACAAGACACGCACACACGTCCACGTGCACACGCATGCGAACCCATGCACGTGCGTTTTGTATGCACTGTATAGTACTGTGAGAGTGTCTTTACATTCCTGAGTGCATTTTGCAAAACTCCTTGTAGAGTGTATGCAGTAGCCACGTTTTTGGGGATACTTTCACACTATACTTGTGGGTGGAGCTACTTCCGAGGCTTTTTCGGTGCACTGTGTGAATGTGTTCATGGGAGTGGCTACCCCCAGTTGGTTGGGTACACTGTGTGAATGTGCAGGTGGGAGTGGCTATCCCCAATTCTTGCGGTACACTGTGTGAATATGTTGGCGAGAGTGATTACGATCCCGTTTTTGTGGTACACTGTGTGAACGTGCACGTGAAAGTGACGACTACGCCCAGGTTTTTGGGGTACACTGTGTGAACGTGCGCATGGGAGTGACCACTACCCCCAGGGTTTTTGGGGGTACACTGTGTGAACGTGCACGTGGAAGTGGCCACTACCCCCAGGTTTTTGGGGTACACTGTGTGAACATGCACATGGCAGTGGCCACTACCCCAGGTTTTTTGGGTACACTGTGTGAACGTGCACGTGAAAGTGACCACTACCCCCAGGTTTTTTGGGTACACTGTGTGAACGTGCCATCGGACTATGAATGGTGTGGCCAAACCCTCACTGGACATCTGTCGCACCGTGGGGCTTCTCTAACGTTGTTACTGACATCGTTTAGCTCCAGAGTTACAAATACCTGTCCTCAAATCTCTCATAGTGGCCATGTGTGGGCAGTGAGTTCGTGGGTGTGCGTGTGTCTCTGTTTATGTATGTGGGGGGTGGTAGTGTAGTGGTTGGTGTACCGCGCTATGAACCGAGTTCGATTCCCGCTCACGGCCAACATCAGTGGCGATTATTTGAACCAGTCCTGGGCCTCCCCTTGGTCGACTCATCCTCAATTGAGTACCTGGTGCGGTCTATGTGAAAGAAAACATCAGCACTGGGGAGACAAAGGCGGCCGGGCGTGGTGTTGGCCACCCACTCCCCCGTGTGCCGTGCCGGCCTTCATAGGTGCTCGCTAACAGCACGTGCCCCAAAAGCGTTTTAAGGCTATACAGGGAGTCTTTGTTTTATTTTTGTCTATGATTGTGCGCGTACAATATATGCGTGGGTGTGTAAGTATGCGTGTCTATGTTAGTGTGTGTGTGGGTGTCTTTGTTTGTGTGCATATGCATGCCTATGTTTGTGTGCATATGCATGCCTATGTTTGTGTGTATGTCGGCGACTGTGTGTGTATGCGTGTGGGTCTCTACGTGTCCGCGCGTATATAGCTTGTCTATGTTTGTGTGTGTGTGTATGGATTTACTGCTATCGTCAGACGCACGCACGCACCCACACACGTTTCTGATCCATGACCCCCGGGGAGGGCAGCCCCACCTCCATGTAGGGATGGTGTGGCCGGACCAGGGAGGGACCCTCAAGTGTCGACCCGAGTACACACAACGGCGTGTGTACGTTTGTGTGTCTGTATGCGCGTGTGTATGTTTCTGTGCGTGTGTGTGCGTATCCTGTGTGTCTGTGTATGGCGTCAAAGTGCACGTGGCCTGGCACAGGTGCCATGGTGACGTCATCGCCACTTAGTGGCGAATGGCGATTGCTGTTGTTGTATGAGTATCTATGTGCGCGTGTATGCGTATCTATGTGTGTATGAGTATCTGTGTGTATATGAGTATCTGTGTGTGTATGAGTATCTGTGTGTGCGTGTATGAGTATTTGTGTGTATGTGTATCTATGTGTGTATGAGTATCTATGTGCGCGTGTATGCCTATCTATGTGTGTATGAGTATCTGTGTGTGTATGAGTATCTGTGTGTGTGTGTATGAGTATCTGTGTGTGTGTGTATGAGTATCTGTGTGTGCGTGTATGCGTATCTATGTGTGTATGAGTATCTGTGTGTATATGAGTATCTGTGTATGTATGAGTATCTGTGTGTGTGTGTATGAGTATTTATGTGTGTATGTGTATCTATGTGTGTATGAGTATCTATGTGCGCGTGTATGCGTATCTATGTGTGTATGAGTATCTGTGTGTGTATGTGTATCTGTGTGTGTGTGTATGAGTATCTGTGTGTGTATGAGTATGTGTGTATGAGTATCTGTGTGTGCGTGTATGCGTATCTATGTGTGTATTCGTATCTGTGTGTGGTTAGCATGCTGAACTACGAACCCGGCCACCCGAGTTCGATTCCCGCTCACGGCAAACACCAGTGACTATTATCTGAACCGGTCCTGAGCCTTCCCCAGGTCGACTCAGCGTCAAATGAGTACCTGGTGCGGTGTGTAAACTTCGCCACAAGCAAGACAAAGGCAGCCGCCGGTCGTGGTGCTGGCCACCCACGCCCTCGTGTGCCGTGCCGGGTTTCATAGGTGCTCGCTAACAGCACTTGCCCTCACAGTCTGTTAGAGGCTATATGGGGGATCTTTGTCTATGTGTGAGTATCTATGTGTATATGTATGTTTGAGTATCTGTGTGTGTGTGTATATATGAGTATCCACGTGTCTGTGTGTATGAGTATCTGTGTGTGTGTTTGAGTATCTGTGTATGTGTATGAGTATCTGTGTGTATGTGTGTATGAGTATCCACGTGTCTGTGTGTATGAGTATCTGTGTGTGTGTGTGTATGAGTATCTGTGTGTGTGTGGATGAGTACGCACGTGTGTGTGGATGAGTACGCACGTGTGTGTGTATGAGTATCTGTGTGTGTGTATGAGTATCCACGTGTCTGTGTGTATGAGTATCTGTGTGTGTGTGTATGAGTATCTGTGTGTGTGTGTGTGTATGTATGAGTATCTGTGTGTGTGTATGAGTATCTGTGTGTGTGTATGAGTATCCACGTGTCTGTGTGTATGAGTATCCACGTGTCTGTGTGTATGAGTATCTGTGTGTGTGTGTATTAGTATCTGTGTGTGTGTGTATGAGTATCCACGTGTCTGTGTGGATGAGTACACACGTGTGTGTGTATGAGTATCTGTGTGTGTGTGTATGAGTATCCACGTGTCTGTGTGGATGAGTACACACGTGTGTGTGTATGAGTATCTGTGTCTGTGTGTATGAGTATCCACGTGTCTGTGTGGATGAGTATGCACGTGTGTATGTCGTGTGTTGGGCTATGCTATTCTGGGTGGCCCCTCCGGTGAGAAAGAGCCAGTGAACTTCCAGGCCGGTTTTTCATCGACCTAATTAGGTGTCTGACGTTATCCCTCGAGGCAGCTGGGGGGGGGGGGGCAAAAAATGCCCCCCCCCCTCCCCTCCTTCGCAACACGTTTCACCACATCAGACACCGCGTTCAAAAATATCATCCTCACAAGCCTCCTACGCATCCAGCGTCGTCATCTCTCCTCCTCCCACTCCTCTTGCTGCTCCTCTTGAGCTGACCGTGAACTCAGGCGGTCGGGGCGACACGCACAACGCCGCCGCGCTGTTGTGCGTGCGACGCGGCCAAGCAGATGGGACAGTGCGATGGACTTTGAATCCATCTGTGCGGCTCTTCGAACAGTCAGTTGGCTCCTTCGCGCATGCGGTTGGGGGGTGGGGGGGGGGCAGTCTCTCCAGGCTCTCCGGTTTCCTTTCCACGCGAAGGCAAACGACTCGTGAGATGGGATTGGCCGAGCGTCACCGACGCGGCAACCCTCCTGAAGACGGAGTCTCGGGACTCGACGAAGCTCCCTTGAGTTAGCGGCAACGCAGTACAACAGGTGCTCGCTAACGGCACTTGCACCCCCCCCCCCGCACCCACGCGCTCTATGAGACTGCATTCCATCCGGGGCATTATCGCCTTTGACTTGACTTTTTTTTTTTTGTCCAATCTGTGGACGATGTGCCGTAATCACCCCGGCAATTCCAGAGCGGTCGTTGTTTGGACAGGCTTGCCCCTGCCATGGGAATGTGGAATGCCCCACTGCTGGCTCAAGGCTACCAATGCATGCGTGCACCGTTCAAGGCTCGTTTAAGCAGGGAGACTCGTTGACTTGCGGTTCAAAATAAACACAAAAGGCGCAGCCGCACCTCCCAATCTGCTTCCTTCTGCTGGTCAGCGAAACCAAACTAACAAGCAGAGCCATTTTATTATGTTAATGAGATTTATATAGCGCCTAGACTCAGGCGCTTTTTACTACGGCGCTTTGCAGCGATGATACAATTTACACGTCGCATGATAATAATTTAAAATGAAGAATTGGGTTATTGTAAGTTCTATGCAGAACCTCCAAGTTGCTTCGCGTGTCCTCTTCCACCCCACACGTCAGGCCCATCACAGCCTCCTCTTCCTGATTACATCCACAACGCCTTCCTGCCACGTTTTGCTGGTTACCCTTTCCCGTACGTACACTTAAAGCCCTTCTGTTTATCCGCTGCTGGATGAGAACCCATCCCCCCACAGGCCGTGTGGGGGGGACTCATTTGACCATACCTCACCACGCCGGTTAAAACGGGTTCATGAATGCGTCCCACTTATCTCCGAGTACCACAGAGTCACGTGACGTAACTTCGGTTACAGCACGGCGTGGGATTTAGCCACCGGTGCCCTCTGCTGACCCGCAGCGCAGCGCCGGGGCCGCCTACGACACCCGGGCGTGCGCATGGGTGGGTCGCCCACCCGAGCGCTCTCTAGGGTCGACCCTTGCTCGTCGACCCCGGAGACCTGACGGGTGACGTGTCGCGGCGGGTCGGTCAGCGGCCCGGCCGTGCGCCGGGCCGCGCTGCGTTTCAAGGCCACTTTGGGTGACCAGGCCCCCATCGTGAGACCCCGAGGTCCACCCCCCCCCCTTCCCCATTATCGAGGCCTCTCGTGTGGTGGCCGGCACTGCTCAAAGGGCTGAGCGCCGAGCTGGCCGCACCTCCGATTAGCACGGTTGGCTACGTACGGCGCGAAAGAAGTTCGACGTGCGTGCGCGCACGCTGGCGCCAGCGAGTTCGTGGGCACGGCTCGGAGTGTCGGCCGGGCTGTGTTTAAGCCGGGCTGTGTTTAAGCCGGGCTGTGCTTAAGCCGGGCTGTGTTTAAGCCGGGCTGTGTTTAAGCCGGGCTGTGTTTAAGCCGGGCTGTGCTTAAGCCAGGCTGTGCTTAAGCCGGGCTGTGTTTAAGCCGGGCTGTGTTTAAGCCGGGCTGTGTTTAAGCCGGGCTGTGCTTAAGCCGGGCTGTGCTTAAGCCGGGCTGTGTTTAAGCCGGGCTGTGTTTAAGCCGGGCTCCTGCAGTGCAGAGGGTCGGCGGGCACAGCCCGGACCCGACGCGAGGAGAGCCATCGCAGCTCCCGTTGAGATGCTTCAGTCAAGAGTGAGAACAATATCGGCTTGACCGTCGCTTGGCGAGCATTTCTCTTCAGCGGCAGAGCTCGGTTTGGAAAAGTGCTGCCCCCTCAGTCTGTGGACCTCGGAGGTCATTCGAAGTGACCTCGGAAGCAGTTCTCCGATATCCGATTCCGCGGGGAGATTTCCCGAAGGCATTCCTCTTCGGCTCGAGACGCCGCGACGCCGATTAGCACGATCGGGATGAAAGTTAGCGGTAAAATTAGCGATTAAAATGCGAAATATATTAAGATTTTTTGGAAACCAAGGGTCCCTTTGTGAGACCGTGCGTGGCGCTTTGCGTCTGGCCCCACCCCCGCCGCACTCGCGGTTCGGTGACCCTGCGGTAGCGCGCCCCGGTAAACAGGATGTTGCATCAGCTCTGTATACACGGCCGCCGCCGCAGAGGCATTCCGCGTTGTTATTCAATAATCCTACGTCTAAAATCGCAGTGTTAAGAAAATAAGTATATACATATCGCTCTCTCTCTCTCTCGCTCGCGACTGAAATTCGTCTAAAATTAAACCCGCTCGCTGCTCGCTGGCCAAGGCAAACGTATCGCAGGCCCAGAGAGCCGCCATTTATCCCTCCAGTCGGCTTATCGCAGTGGAGTGTTTTTGCTCGCTTGACAGCACTTTCATGCTTTATAGTCAGAATTATTAATATTATAAGACGATCCTTTGAGTAAGGCGCACCCCAAACTTGTGCCGGGTGTAAAGTTACGCAAAAGACAAAGATCACCTTATAGCCTCAACAGACTGTTTGGGGCAAGTGCTGTTTGCGAGCACCTATTAAAGGCTGACATTGAGGCACACGAGGGGGTGCGTGTGGCGAGCAACTTGCCCCCCCCCCAGGTCGCCTATGTGGCGATGTTTACACACCGCACCAGGTACTCATTTGAGGCTGAGTCGACCTAGGGGAGGCCCAGAACCGGTTCAGTTAATCGTCACTGGTGTCGACCCGCGGGATCGAACCTGGTTGCCGGGAATCGAACCCGGGTGGCCGGGTTCATAGAGCAGCGTGCTTATTGCTAACCCTTACCACTCCCCACTCTGCGGGGTCGTCGACAAGTGATTCTCAAGACAACAACCGCCATTCGCCACTAAGTGGCGGTGACATCACCACGACGCTTGTGCCAGGCCATGTGCACCTTGAGGCCACGTGAAGTGTCGAACGCCCGCTGGCAGGAGGTCACGGGGCAGACCCAGCAGGTGCCACGGGTCGACTGACTGAGATGACCGAGATGACTGGCTGATGCACCACCTGTGCCCCCTACTGTGCCAACTTGCCGTGCTTTAGCCACCCGGCGCTCTGCTCGTTGACAAAGACACACGCACACACACATACACACACAAAGACACTCGCACGTGCGGGTACACACGCACACACACAAAGTGGCATTCTTACCGCTATCGTTTGTAAGATTCGTCCTCTGCCGTTTGCTTTAAAATAGTGGGGGAAACAAAGTAACGCTTTATGTTCGCGGAGAAAACAGCAAGACGCTATCCCCGGTTTTGCCAAATTCCATGCAGAAGATGGCATTAGTTAGGATCGGGTCACCGTGGCGAGGAGCATTCGCCTCACGATCGGAGAAAGGTTGTAAATTTGATTCCTGGTCAACTTAGACCATCATGTACATCATGGGACCTCCTTTGGCAGTGTCACAATATAAGAATAGGTTTTCCCCTTTTTTTCTGGCAACAAAACAGTTGTGTTAAGATGTTAAAACAGCAAACTGAAACCTTTTGCAAGGAATCATGTTACTGCATTAACCACAGATAGTTGTGGTGAAAATACAAACAAAAACATGCTCTGACATTATGTGCATTGTCTTTGAAACTGATTGGTCCACACCAGAGACAGCTTTCTTTAGAGCCGAGTCTCAACCGGTGTTAGACCAGAGGACGCCAAAGTCGAACAGCGCAAAGACAATGATTTCGTGCAGACACGATTCCTTGCAAAAGGTTTCAGTTTGGTGTTTTAACATCTTAACACAGCTATTTTGTTGCCAGAAAAAAGGAGAAACCATCATGGTCATGATGATCATCATCATCATCATCAATCATCCTGACTCTGTGGGCCGGTCAACAGTGATCGTTAGTCGGGAACGTGGAATTTCCACCGCCGCCAAACTGAGATGAGCGCCCGGCCCGTGGTCGTTTGAACGCTTAGACTCTCTGAGACGCTTGAATTAGGATAATAAATTATAATATACGATGGCGACGGGGATAATCCTTGCGTCCAATAGCCGTGCGATGCACGTGCTGTTCAGCCGTCATCGCCATTAATGACCATAATTGTACTTTTAAATGCAGGATGCTAAGACACACAAAAACATCAACGCCCGCAGCTGTTGTTTTTGTACAGAAAGGTTTTTTTTGTCTTCATCGGATGCAAAGTGCAGTACGCACTTGCGTGTGTGTCTATTTTTACTACGATATAAGTTTTTTTATTTTTACATATACATTAAAAACAAAAAAATCCGAGCGCGTTTGACGACGCCACCTCGGCCCGCTTGACTGACGAATCCCACGAAACGGCCATAAAGGAATGTTTCGGGAGCCATTGTCGTGGCCGCCCCGATGCCATCGTTGCGTTATTCGGGAGGAGCGGCGGCGGCGGTGGCAGCGGCGGCGGTGGCAGCGGTGGCGGTGGCAGCGGCGGCGGTGGCAGCAGCGGCGGTGGCAGCGGTGGCGGTGGCAGCAGCGAATGCCGCACGCTGAGAGGCAGGAATGTTAAGGGGGGGTCCCCATCGTTTGTGTTGGGGTAGTCGGTCCACGTCGCCTGCGCAAGAAGCCTCCGAGACGGGGAGAGCTTCGCAGCTCATCGGATTCCTCCAGCCTGAGATGAAGATTCTGATCATCGGGATTATGAGCAAAGGCCTTGCCCAGCTACAAGCAGCCAGAGAATCCAAAAGGGTTGGTAGTTGTGCAGTAACTACCCCAGGTTTTTTACGTTGGGGGGGGGGGCGGGGTCGGTGGGGACGCGTAGCATAGAGATCCATAGAGTTACACAGAGACTCATAGAGTAGCATAGAGATCCGTAGAGTTACACAGAGACTCATAGAGTAACATAGAGATCTATAGAGTTACACAGAGATCCATAGAGTTACACAGAGACTCATAGAGTAGCATAGAGATCCATAGAGTTACACAGAGACTCATAGAGTAACATAGAGATCCATAGAGTTACACAGAGACTCGCAGAACACAGCCCAAGGCCGCCAGAAGTGGTGGCAGTTACCGGACATCGCAGGGTGGGAATGTGCAAACTAACAAGAGCAAAAACAACAAATTATATACAGGAAACCCACACCAGAACTGACTGCAAACAAGATAAGCAATAAATAAACACGATTCAAAACACTAATCTAATGGAGTCGGACTTCACGAGCACGGCTGCAGTGTTCATAGCGACAGTGGTGGAGGTGATCCTCTAGCACGGCGAGAGAAGAGCGTGCATACCTTCTCCTGTATCCTCGCACGTGACACACAATCACTCGTTAGTTTTGAAAGGGACTTGGGCCAAACATCTCACTAGAAGTAGTGCTCCACTTAAAAAAAAAAGTGTCTTGTATGTTTGTTGAATTTATTTCGCACCGTAGCCGACCGCGCTAATCGAATGTGCGGGGGGAAGATCAACAGATGGGAGACTTGGGAGGGCAAGGGCGCCATGGCGGCTAGGAGATGTTAACTACCTCGCCTGGTGTGCAGGAGGTTGTGGGTTCGATCCCGACCCTGACGCCTGCTGTTTTATATTTGAAGTCTGCGTGCCTCTCTCTCATCATCATCATCACCACGGTGGCTAGGAGATGTTAACTCCCTCGCCTGGTGTGCAGGAGAGGCCGTGGGTTCGATCCCGACCCTGACGCCCGCTGCTGTATATTTGGAGTTTGCCTGCCTCTCTCCCCGTGGTCGCGTGGGGAGTTTTGGATAATAAAAACTAATTATTCAGCTGAAGAAAAATACTCCTTTGACATTTCCTTGCTGAAATTAACACGTCAACGTTGCGCCCGTGGCGTGATTAATCGGAGCGTGTTTTATTTTTAGCCGAGGGGGACAGTGTCGCTGTGTGGCACAAGGTGCACGCAGCAGCTGCTTGGCGACGGGCGTTCGTCTGCCCTGATGAGGCGATGTGCCCCACTGGTTATCGCAGTCAAATAGCTTGCGAGGAATTCTTATTTTCAAATCGGCAAACTTGGCCTGTGACGCCGCCTCCGAATAACGCCGTGGGGTCTTCAGCAATGTCTGCCGTGAAGCAGATGTCACTTTTCCGTGGCCTCTGACCTCTGCGCCGTAACCTCTGCCCCCCCCCTCCCCCGTGCCCTCCTAACAGGGGGACGTGAAGGCGTACCTGCGCGGGCTGGCGGGGGTGACGGGCAGCGTGGTGGACGTGGAGCAGCTCCTGCGCATGGCCTTCGAGGTGTCGGCCGGGGTCACGCACATGCACCGCCACGGCTACACGCACAGGTGGGACGCTCGGTCCGTCGGTCGCTCGACAATTCCCCGCAGCTCGATCGCTCGGTCCGTCGGTCGCTCCCTCGCAGTCGAGAATCGCTCGACCGGTCAACCGGCCAGGGCCGCCCCCCGTCTCTCCGTCTCTCCGTCTCCCCGCTCTTCTCCGCGTCTTGCCCCCTGTGTCTCCACTCCGCGTGTCCGTGTCGCCACTTGCCGCGCGTGCCTCCTGCGTCTCCGCGCTGTCCCGTTGTGTCTGCGTGTTTCAGCTGGGAGCGTGCGACTCTGCTCGTACCCGTGTGTCCCTGTGTTCCGGCACTTCCCTGCATCGCCATCCTTTCCTGTGCCTCTGCTCAATCTGCTCACTCCGTGTGCTGTCCCCCGTCCTCCGTCCCCGCCCGTCTCGTGAGCGTTGTTGGGAGCGCGCGGTTCAGCCCCGTGGACCGCGTGGCTGTTGGAGAGCGTCCCGTTGAGTTCCGGCAACAACATCCTGGTGCTGCCGAGTGGCACCTGAGACTCCAGCATCAGTGATTTTGTTGCCGGAACCAGGCACAAGCAGCTTCCTCTCCAGCAACAACCACTGCCCGGCACCGGCACCACCAACACCACCAACACCACCACCAGTCCCGCCACTCTCACCACCACCACCGCCACCACTCTCACCACCACTCTCACCACCACTCTCACCACCACTCTCACCACCACTCTCACCACCACTCTCACCACCACTCTCACCACCACTCTCACCACCACCACTCTCACCACTCTCACCACCACTCGCACCACCACCACCAGTCCCACCACTCTCACCACTCTCACCCCCTCTCACCCCTCTCACCACCACCACCACTCTCACCACCACCACTCTCACCACCACCACTCTCACCACCACTCTCACCACCACCACTCTCACCACTCTCACCACCACCACCAGTTCTGCCACCACCACCACTCTCACCACCACCACCAGTCCTGCCACTCACCACCACCAATACTACCACCACCACAACCATTCCCGTCACTCTCACCACAACTGCCACCACGACCAAGAGCATCACCACCACCACCACCGCCTCACACCATCTGGCACGTTCCCCTGTGTGACGGTGGCCGCTCTGCTTCGGTTTTTGTTTCATTTTCCTCGCCGCGTTTGGTTCTCTTCTCTTTCTTCTTCGTCGCTGGCGGCGACCCGTCCGAGGCCATCCTTCAAATGGGACGCGGACGAGCCGAGTCTCTCCACTTCTCGCCACGGAATCACAAGAGGAGTGCCCGAGAGCCGCCCCCCGTTCCCGGCCTGTATTGCGCTGTCTGGCGGCATCGCGCCCCAACCCCCCTAACATCAGAAGGGAGGGTAGCAGGTGACCAGGACCGGCAAGTCCTCGAGTGCGACGTCCGCCATCCGCTACGTGGCCGTCAGCCAGCGCCACCGCCGTCGTGAACTGCTTCCGAAAGAGCCAAGAAGATGAATCCCTGCAGTCGCGAAAGCTTTACACCACTGTAACCACTGTAACCGCATCGCCGGGAATCTGCCAAACTTCCCCGTCGAGCAATAAGAATGGGGGGAAAAATGAAGCGACAGTGGTGCCGGTGAGGAATCGCCACCACCGCCACCCACCCACACACCCATCGCCCCCCCAGTGAGGAGCTCGCATCTGGCTCCAAATCCAAATGGCTCACATACATGGCGGAGCTTAAAAAGACTTATATTGAGTGGAGCTTCTGCGGATGCAACTCTCTCATGAAATCATGGGTGGGGGGGGGGGGCTTCTGCAGCACAGCCGACCAGTGTGCCTGTCAGGAGAAGCAAACCACGTGGGTCACGTCTCCTGAGATGCCCTGCAGCAAACCGCGATGCTACTCCTCAAGATTTCGGAAGCGGGGGCCTGCGCAGAACGTTGGTAAAGAACCCGTGTCGGTTGGACAGGAGACGCGAGGAAGAAGAGCTGCCTCAACAAGACAGCCGCACACCGCCCTCTACTGGCTCGAGGCCCCGCATCGTCAGAGAGAAGGCTCCTCCCTCGTCCCTAACGTGCCAGCATCGATGCAAACACGGCCTGACCCTGCTGAGAGGAGACACTGTCCGTGGGTCGAAACCGGCCCAGGGTTTTGCTGATGCCGAATCGTGCAAAATAATTCTTTACACTGCTGCCCTCGTACACGAGAGCGGAGTAGTAGGATGCAGTTGGGGGCATTTTCACGCTTCCCCCCCATCCCAGATCACTCCCCCTCCCTCTCTTTCTCTGGGAGCTTAAAAAATGCCCTCTCGTAGACGCCGACTTTGGCATTCGGCTGCTGAACCGCATCGCCGCTACTACCGCTTGCGCCGCGGGCGTCGTCGTACGCATGCGGAGCATCGGGTGGACTCTCGTTTTGCCGTCGGGCGGACGGCGGACGGCGTTGGATTGGCAGCGGCAGTGGGAACAAATCACAGTGACTGCAGAGTCGGAGATGTGGACAGAACTCCAGTGTCTGTGATTTCGTTCTCCACTCTGCTAGCCCAAACATCGTTCTCACCTCCACCCGCCTCCACACCCGAACTGTCGACCCGCGACCTCGTCATCTCGACCCTTTGGCGGCGGCGACGCGGCCGCCCGGGGGTAACCGCGTTCGCCTACTCGTTTGCGGAGGTTCTGCGGTTCGAACCCTGGCGGGCCGCCCTGGGTAATACTGCGGAGCGCGAGAAGCGTACATTTTGTTTTATACTTCTGCCGCGGTTAGTGGAAATCGTGTTAAGCGGAAGCAGTTTTCCTGTGAATAATGTAACGATAAACATTTGGCGAGACACAATGTACTACGCACACACACAGGGTGGGGGGAGGGAATGGCTGGACAAATAACCGAGAGTACCGCATCACTGCATCATTCCGCGTACCGCATCACTACACTGCTCAAGAAAGTAGTTCGGTGTCCACCGCTCAACGAGCCGCGTTGTAATGGCGCTCGTTCCGCGTGATAACGAACGAACAAGTTTGTCACGTCTGTCACCCGCCCCCCCTGTCCCCCGCGACCCCCCCCCCCCTCCACCACCGGGTGCCGCCACCACCGCGTGTTGAGTCACGCAATGGGGTATTTGTGCCATGGCCTTTAGCGGGGGGGGGGCGTGCATGGAAACTGCTCCGTGGGTTTATCACGATGGCCAGGGATGCATTGCGAAGTGTGTCCGTGCGTGTGCCGGGTCAATGCGACCAATATTTGACCGTTCGCGAGCCTCCCCTAGGTCGTCTCAGCCCTAAATTAGTATTGTACCTGGTGCGGTGAGTAAATATCAGCACCGGACGTGGTGTTGGCCACCCTCCCTCCTCGTGTGCCGTGCCGGCCTTCATAGCTGCGGCTCGCTAACAGTACTTGCCCCTATAGTCTGTTAAAGGCTTCACGGGGGATCTTTGTCCATGCATGTGTGTGTGAGTTGTTTGTTTCGTCAGGTTTTTTGGCCGGATGCACCGCGCTATATTTAGCCGCACGTTTAACCCTCAATTAGTTTAATTGCCGTGCGATTAGTGTCGCTGTCACGTGCTCATTCGCCCCGCGTGCGTGCGCTTTCACTCACTTCTCCACCTCACCTCACCTCGGTCACCAACACACTCGTTTTATTCACTCATTTCTTCACCGCACTCGCCTCTTCGCCCCCCCCCCCCACCTGTCCCCCACTTCGCTTCACTCCCATCTTCACCTCATCATCTCGCTCCCTTCAACTCACCTCTTTACCGCTCCACGTCACTCCTCTGTTCGCCTCGCTCACCTCTTCACCTTGATCCCATCACCCCCGTCGGTTTCCCAGTGACCTTGCCCTGAGGAGCTGTCTCTTGACCTCTGACCTCACGGTGAAGATCGGAGACTATGGCACATCCGCCACCAAGTACAAGGTGAGACACTCATCCCTACAGCCAACCCTACAGCCAACCCTACAGCCAACCCCAAGTCATCCCTATAGCTACTCCTGCAGCCATACCTCCAAATTGCACGGTTCATGATGTACGGTGCTAAATAAGTTCAACATAAATACATGCCTACAGCCAACCCGATACCCACCCTTACAGCCAAATCTACAGCCTTCTCTAAAGCCATCCCTACAGTCAACCTTACACCCATCCCTACAGCCATACCTCCACCCATGCCTACAGCTACCCCTACAGCCATCCCTACACCCATCCTGACAGTCAACCATACAGATATCCCTGCAGCCATATCTAAAACAATCGCTGCAAACAACCCTACAGCCAGTTATATCCCTACAGACATCCCTACAGTCAACTCTACACCCATCCCTACAGCCATCCCTACAGCCAACCGCCCAAACAACCCTACACCCATCCCTACAGCCAACCCTACAGCCAACCCTACAGCTACCCCTACACCCATCCCTACAGCCAACCCTACAGCCAACCCTACAGCTACCCCTACACCCATCCCTACAGCCAACCCTACACCCAACCCTACACCCATCCCTACAGCCAACCCTACAGCTACCCCTACACCCATCTTTACAGCCAACCCTACACCCAAACCCTACACCCATCCCGACAGCCAACCCTACAGCCAACCCTACAGCTACCCCTACAGCCTAACCCTACAGCTACCCCTACAGCCATACTTACAGCTAACCCTACACCCATCCCTATCTACCAATCCTACAGCCATTCCTACACCCCACGTGTGTACACATGTACTTGTGCATGCCAATGCGTGTGTAAATGCATTGCTCGTGCATGCCTGTGCATGCGTACACATGTGTGCGTGTGTACACGCGTCTGTGTGTGTGCGCGCGTGTGCATGTGAACACGTGTGTGCGTTGTCTCGCTCGTGTGTAAGTGGTAGTGCAGCGGTTAGCGCGCTGCGCTGCGAACCCGGCGAACAGAGTTCAATTCCCGTTCAGGCCACCAATACCAGTGACAATTATCTGAACCAGTCCTGGGCCTCTCCTAGGTCGACTCAGCCTCAATGAGTACCTGGCGCGGTGTGTAACATCGACAAAGTCGGCCGGGGCGTGGCGCCGGCCACATCACCCCCCGTGTGTGCCGCATGACAGAGTGACGTGGCCTACACGGGCGCTGCTCCGAGCGGCACTTGCCCCGACCAGTCTGTGTCAAGGGCTACACGTGGTGGGGGGACCTTTGCCTTTGTGTCGCAGGACGACTACCTGGTGACGTCGGACCGGCAGAGCGTGCCGCTTTGCGGTGGATCGCGCACTGAGCTCGTGGACGACGTGCACGGAAACCTCCTCGTGGTCGACCAATCCAAGCAGAGCAAAGTGTGGTGAGGCGATATGTGAGCGAGCGCCAGAGTCGTCCCGTCGTTTGTATTGTCTCGGTTTGTATTGTCCAACTCTGCTGTGTGTCCTGTCTCCTTTACGTCGTCCGGTTGTGCTGTCCGTCTCGTTTGTGATGGCCGCTGGAATCTCCAGAACGGCGCATCCCTCCTCGCGCGAGCGTCGTCCGCTCCTGCGCCCCGGACGGTCTCTCGCTCCCCGCTGCGAGCCACAATATCTCAATCGCTCGCCAAGGAACCGGCCAATGAGCTCAAGACGTTGAGATATCCTCCCAGAAACGTCGCCGATCCTGTATCTTGTTAACGACGTACCCCCCCACCCCCCCCCCTCCTCGCGAACTCGTGTTGTTCAGGTCGCTCGGCGTGACGCTGTGGGAGCTGCTGGAGCTGGGGTCTCAGCCGTACAAGCACCTGACGGACAAGGAGGTGCTCTCGTATGTGGTGAAGGAGCAGCAAGTGCGCCTCGCCAAGCCTCGCCTGCAGATGGTGCACTCGGACCGCTGGTGCGGGCTGCCACGATGATGATGACGACCGATGCCGACCATAACAACGGAAATGATGATGACGATGATGACGATGACTGATGATGACGATGATGGTGATGACAATGATGAGGATGGCAATGATGATGACGATGATGACTATGATGATGACCATAACAAAGATGATGATGATGATGACGATGACGACCATAACAACGGAAATGATGATGACGATGATGATGATGACTGATGATGATGATGGTGATGACAATGATGATGACGATGATGACTATGATGATGACCATAACAAAGATGATGATGATGCCGATGATGACTATGATGATGACCATAACAAAGATGATGATGATGACGATGACGACCATAACAACGGAAATGATGATGACGATGATGGTGATGACAATGATGATGACGATGATGACTGATCAAGACCATAACAAAGATGATGATGATGACGATGACGGACCATAACAACGGAAATGATGATGACGATGATGGTGATGACAATGATGACTGATCATGACCATAACAAAGATGATGATGATGACTATGATGATGACCATAACAATGGAAATGATGATGACGATGATGATGACCATAACAAAGATGATGATGATGACTATGATGATGACCTTAACAAAGATGATGATGATGGGGATGACAATGATGATGACGATGATGACTATGATGATGACCATAAAGATGATGATGATGACAATGATGACTATGATCATGACCATAACAAAGATGATGATGACGACAATGATGATGATGATGACGACCATAACAACGGAAATAATGATGACGATGATGGTGATGACAATGATGATGACGATGATGACTATGATCGTGACCATAACAAAGATGATGAGGACTATGATGATGACCTTAACAAAGATGATGATGATGGGGATGACAGTGATGATGACGATGATGACTTGGATGATGACCATAACAAAGATGATGATGATGACGATGATGACTATGATGATGACCATAACAAAGATGATGATGTTGGTGATGATGGCGATAGCTATGACGACGATTATTATGGCGGTGCGCGTTCCGAGCTGTAACGGTGCGAAAAGTGTGGTGAAATAGAAGAACCGCGTTATAGCGAAAACGCGTTAAGCAAGGACTTGGCATGCTTATTCCACCTTACACGCATATCGATGATTGTAATGCAGCTGTTGCTGCTGCTGTTGCTACTACTACTGCTGTTACTGCTGCTGCTATTTCTGTTGCCACTGTTTCTGCTGTTGCTACCATTGCTGCTGTTACTGCTCCTCTCATGCTGCTGTTGTTGTTGCTGCTGCTACTGCTGCTGCTACTGTCACTGCTGCTGCTACTGCTGCAGTTGCTGCCGCTGCTGCTTTTACCGCTGCTCTTACGGCTGCTGCTGTTACTGCTGCTGCTCCTAATGCTGTTTCTGCTGCTGCTGTTTCTGCTGCCGCCGCCGGCACCGCCAGGTACGAGGTGCTGCAGCTGTGCTGGCTGCCGTGTGAGCAGCGCCCGTCCGTGGAGGAGGTGCACCTCCTCCTCACCTACCTCTACAACCGGCGCCTCTGCTCCAGTGACGACGCCAGCTTCGAGCGCCAGTGGAACGCGCTCAAGCCGTGCCTGCCGCTCGCCCACCACCACCAGCAACAGCAGCAGCAGTCGGCGCCGGCGCCCGCCTACCCACAGCTGCGCCGCTTCTCCAGCGAGGGCCTGCAGGAGGAACTGGACGACATCCTCACCGTCACCGAGACCAGCCAGGGCCTGAGCTTCGAGTACTCGTGGGGACCGGCCCT